CCGAGCGAACAATCGAACCCGCAATCATCATCTGCTTCTCCCTTATCCCATTTACTTGTGGTCGGCGTAGTATGTTTTTCTCTTCCATTCATCCCTGTTCGCAGTCATCTCGTTATTTACTTCCTTTCTTACCATATCATATTTCACAGTCCATCCATCTCTTTTTCGGCCTTCCTCTGCCCTTATAACCATCCACATTCATATGTAACACCTTCCTTAGCATATGATCCTTATTCCTACGCATTACATGTCCATACCATGATAGACGATTACTCTTCAACCTCGCCGACTCCGGCGCCACTTTCATACATCCTCTGATGTATTCATTCTTTATCTTATCCATTCCTGTCACACCACACATTCGCATTTCAGTTGCATGCAATCGTCTTTCATCCATCGCCTTTACGGACCCGCGACCATTGGAAGGAAAGCGCTGTGCTTAACCGCTAGACCACCGAGGCCGTCGACTTGAACTTTGAAATGGATCTGTGAATTTACATGCAATTACCAATCCACTTGGTAAAGGATATAGATTCCTGGAGAATATCAGTTAGAAGAAACGATCCTGGTGGTCCCGACCCTCAGCCTTGAGGAATCGACAAAGAAGAAGAAGTGAATTTACAGTGAAAGTTTTTTTATACCACGTAGATGGCAAACAAGCATACGGCCAATCTGATGGTAAATGGTTACCGTAGCCTATGGAAGTCTGAAATACCAGGGGTATCACGTGAGCGTTGTCGACCCTTAAGAAACGTTCTATAAAGACATTGCTATATATATATATATATATATATATATATATCATCTTAATAAGATAAGATAAGATTAAAAGAGATAAGATCATAAGTCCACATTACTAACAATCCCCTAGCTTTGCTTTCTTTTGTAAATTGATTTAAATATAATGATAAATATATGTATGATGCAGACAAAGTTGCGCCGATCAGCTAGTAAGATGTACATACATCTTACTTACCATTACATAGTATAAAACAAAGTCGCTGTCGCTGTCTGTCCGTCCCCATGCATGCTTAAATCTTTAAAACTACGCAACGGATTTTTTTGAAATAGAAATAGAAATAATCTTTATTCAAATAAACTCATTACAAGCACTTTTGAATAGTCATATTTTGATTCTACCACTCATTCGGAATGCAGATTCAAAGCTACCAGATATAGTGATTCAAGAGGAAGTTTTATGTATATAATACATGTACACCCGTGCGTACCGGGGCGAGTAGCTAGTTAATATTATAAACGTGAAAGTTCAGAGTATGGATAGATAGATGGATGTTTATTACTCTCTCACGCAAAAACTACTGAACTAGTTTTGATGAAACTTTGCAGTAATATAGCTTATATATCAGAGTAACATATGGGCATAATTTAAAAAGATATTGTGTAAATTGGGCGATATATAATGATAAATGTCAAGTAAGTGTGACGCTGACGATTTTGCAAGAATCAGGTAGTTATTAAAATAAAGCTCCGTATAACTTTATTTTAAATATTAGAGTGTTTGTTATTTATAAACTTTCGTGTGATATATTACTCCATCGTGACAAATTAACCAGGTATTAATAATAATAATAATAATCTCAGGACAATTCACACAGCGCCATCTAGTCCCAAGTTAAGCTATCTAAAACTTGTGTTATGGTTGCCAGATAACTGATACAAGTACATACATATTATATATAGAAAACACCCAGACCGATACAAACAATCATACTCATGAATACAAATGTTTGTGCCGAATCGAACCCGCGACGATCGGACGTTAAGCAGTGTGCTAGACCGCTAAACCACCGAGGTCGTCAATTTATACCGATGGTTTCCAGGGGGACCCGCGTGGAGGTCAACCTGATGTGGTACATTATTAGCAATAAAATAACTCCACATTAACAACCCCGTCTCCCCCCAATTATGTAAATTAAAATGTTTTTTTTTTTACTTTTAAATCAGGATAATAAAGCGGAGAATAAAAAAGTTTAAAAACTGCATCAAGTTTATTACGTGCTTGATGTTTTTTTCGAACAAAGATCGTGGAAGTAAAGTTTCTTGCTCATTCAATTTAGCTGATCTGCATTCGAATGGGGAAAATAAAAAAAAACAATATAATAAGTTTTCCACTTAATGGAACGGCAAGAAATGGTAAACGTCAACCTGATGGTAAGTGGTAATAAATATATATTGCGACTTCGTCCGCGTGGAATTTAACTTTATTTTTATAAAATGAAAGTAGCCTAAGTTACTCTTTATTACATCAGCTACCTGCCAAAAAAGTCCCGTCAGAATCGGTCCAGCCATTTCAGAGATTAGCCGGAACAAACAGACAGACAGACAGACAGACGAAAAACACAAGCTCTGCTTACCGTGGTACTAGATGGCGCTGTGTTAATTGTCGAGGGTTACTTATTTATTTAAGTATATACGGAAATTCGTGGTGATGAATTAAGCATAATTCAATTTTATACATACTAGTAACAACTGCATCACTCTATTTAAATTTAAAAATGATTCTGTATTTTTATGATCATGTACAAACTCATTTGAAAAGAATAAAAGCTCAGTTTCTTATCAGTTCTTCTTCGAAAGCACGGACTGTAGATCTGACATATCATAAGATTCAGTAATAAACCAGAATTAATCAAACTATTTAGATCATAATAACTAAGAGAAATAATCTTAGTTATTATGATTAATACCTTGTGTGTACCTTACGAGGAATCGAACCCGCGACCGTCGGAAGTAAGGTGGTATGCTAAACCGCTAGACCACCGAGGTTGTCATATATAGAGTTATTATATATGTATATAGTTCACACATTTAATTTCAATATGTATTAACTTAAAAATAAAAAAAAAACTAATTTACAATATTTGAAAAATATTTATTTCTATCTATTATTAAAGATGATGATAAAATTAAGATGAAAAATACTTTATTACACCATATATATTTTTAAATCGTAAATCATTACTATGTTTATCAACTGACCGGTTTTCCTTTGAAGCCTTGACAAAACCTTTGATTACATGCCAAGAACGAACCGGTATAGTCGGTAATTGAAATAATAGAGAATGTCAGGTGTAGACATGATGCAATAGGCGTACAATACATGAAATTGGATAATCGCATCCTCATACATCGAGATGAGTCTGCTATGATCCGAGATTGTGTTTGTTGAGTATTTAATTGAATTAGTGCTAATTGGTAATTTGTATTCACTTAAACTTAAAAATGTAAAGTAATAATAAAATTATTTAAAAGAGCAACACGCAAGTTTCTTGCTCGTTCTTCTTGTGATGAGACAGTTTTCCGAATGAGCGGTAGATTAAAAAAAATGTGATGACTATTCAAAAGTGCTTCAATGTAAGTTTATTTGAATAAATGATTTTCTATTCTATTCTTGTGTATTAACTGAAGAGAAAGTGGATTTTTTTAATGATAGATTTTACAACAAACTGCCAGATTTGCCATAAAAAAGATTCAAATGTCTTATAAAATATTTTCTTTGTAAAAAAGCTTATTATAAAATTAAAGAATTTAATAATAATAATAATGTTTTTGTAGAAAATATCTAAATTAAAATTAATAGCGCTTGTCAGCGCTTAAGTGCGTAGTTGCACAGAGATTAAGTGCGTAGCGGTTTCTATGTTGATTGTCGCATGCCTAATCCTTGTTAATGTAAATCTAATTAAAACAATAAAGCAACACAAGTTTCTTGATCATTCTTCTTGTGATGAGTCTGCATTCCGAATGAGTGGTAGAATAAAAAAAAGGAACTATTCAAAAGGGCTTATATTAAGTTTATTTGAATAAAGATTATTGCTATTTCTATTTCTGATATTTATTTCAGATGTCAGAGCAAGATGAGTCAGTGTAATTGAAAAATTAGTATTTTTCAAAAGGGCTTACAGAGACATAAGTCGATCTATATACTGAACTGGACGGTAGGGAACTTCAAAAATTTTGACGTTCATAAGCGGCTATATCCTACATGAAGCAATGATTTTTGAATTTTGCATTTTGAATTTTTTCAAACTATCATATAAAAGCAGATTTCAAAATAATACAAAATTTATAAAAAGGACGATGTACAAACTGCCAGCAATAAAACTCAAAGCGTATTTTTATGTAGTGTATTAAAATAAGATATTTAAAATTTAAATTTACAGACATGTGACGTGGTGGGTTGGAGCATTGGGCTAACGAAAATATGGTCGAGCGTAGTAATGGCTGGCTCATCCGTCATACTTGTGAACGAATGCTGCTCTGACTGGTCTGCTCTTATCACTACGACTGATTTAATCTTATTATATTTGACCCTAGTAAATTAGTGCTGGTTGGTAGTTTGTATTCACACGTTTCGACTTGTAAAATGTGAACTAACAAGGATTATTTAAAACAGCAACACACACGTTTCTTGCTCGTTCGTCTTGTGATGACACAGCTCTTCGAATGAGCGGTAGATTAAAAAAATTGTTATGATTATTCAAAAGCGCTTAAATTAAGTTTATTAGAATAAAGAAGAAAGGATTCCATTCTATTCTATTTATACCGACAATATCATATTTTATATTGTACATGAACAGAAAAATAAAAAATAAAATCCAATACATAATTAACCTTTATTTAAATTGGTCACAAATATTTACCGCAGTAAACATTTGTGACCATTGTAAAAACTACTTAAGGGGATTTTGATGAAACTTTACAATAATATAGCTTATGCATCAGCTATATTTTACATTGAAACTCAAAGCGGTTGCAACCGCGAGCATATCTAGTTATACATAAAAAAATATTTATGTATCTCTGATATGTTTTGTGACCAATTTACCATATATATTATGTTTTATATACGGTTTAAATAAACAACCCCTATAGATACAACATGCCACCCTGTCCGAAGTCACGTAAACATTCGCGACGGCCGTGTGTCACGGCGATGCGAACTATATAAAGGAACGATCAGGAGAGACCGATCAGAGCAACGCCGGTTAACACACAATAACGCAGTCTTATTTAGCGTACAGTGTTGTGGTTTACTTTCGTGTGTTCTCCAAAACTTTATCAAACTAAAAAGGTATGTGATAATGATAATTATATTAATTTAAATCAATAATTATAATCTTTATTTGTCTTATATTAAATTAGTAATAATAAACATCAATATTTGTCTCAAATAATAAACTATTTTTCGTTAATTTATTTTTCGTTACACCAAAACTTTATTTAACTAATAAAGTATGTGATAATGATAATGATATTAATTTAAATTAATGATTATAATCATCATTAATTGTCTTAAATAATAAATTACCGAATTACGGACTGTTTACAATAAAATTTAGAAATATTAATCGAGGCAAAACGGTCTATAACTTAGAGGGAACAGTAGGTCTTCTCTAAATTATAAACTATTATATAGACTGCCTATAATAGAATTTAGAAACTTTTTAATCCAATCAAAATGTCTATAACTTACAGGGACAGTAAGTCCTCTCTGCAGTTCTGTTATAGCCTTTATTAGTAAATTATTACAATAACTTATAATGAATTTGATAATAATACGTGTAATAATGTTTGGTTTATCTAAGTATGAAAATAAAATGTTGAAGTTGTACAAAAAAATATATTTTAAATTTCATTTGGTTAGTGTATTAAAATATAATGTTGAAAATATTTCTTAGAAGATTTCTGGAGATCCCTTAGGTATTACGACAGCCTTTTGTAGCTGAATATTCTATATTCTTTAAGGTGCAATAAATAGTAATAAATAAGCACTGATATAAATATTTAATAAAATAAAATTAAGAAAGTTAGTTCATAAGAGGATCAAAAACTAAAAGACATTATTTAATATTCTCTTCTGGTGCATTTTTTATTTGATATTATTTATTAAAAAATAACAAAATGGCTCGTGCATCATCTTATTAATCATTACATAGTATAAAACAAAGTCGATGTCGCTGTCTGTCCGTCCCTATGTATGCTTAAATCTTTAAAATTACGCAACGGATTTTGAAGCGGTTTTTTTTAATAGATAAAATGATTCAAGGGGAAGGTTTATATGTATAATACATGTACACCTGTGCGAAGCCGGGGCGAGTAACTAGTCATTGATATAAGTAATCGGGATTTAACACGAATGATTTTATGGTAAATTAATAATACCAGTATACCAGTATATAAATAAGTAATACCAGTAATAAAGTAAGTTACCTCTGACGACGTTTCGGAAATCATTCCTGGAAAGATTCGATTAACTATATAACTAAACCCGAAAGTTTAAATAAATATAAGTATTGATGTTATTTTATTTCCAAATATGCATTTAATAGTAGTAAACATGTTCTATTATAATTTTTATTATTATTTAAAAAAAAATGTATACAAAAAATATGTAATTTTTTGTATACATTTTATAATATTTTTTTTCAGTAATAATAGCATAATAATTATTTTTATAAAAACTTATTAACACGTTAATAGCCACGGTAATTTACAGAAATCTTGCCAAAAAGATAATTTGACTAAATATAATACATATATAATAATACATAATACATTATATTATTAAAAACTCTAATTCTACTGCATACTTATGATCAAAAAGAATTAAATATTTATTTATTACAACTTTCATATACAAATACAATATATATATGTACATATGGTGAAGTTAACACCTAGGGACGTTCTCTACCAGTCAACCATAAGGCAAACTGAGAAATTAGTAAGCGGCGCATAGTTTACAAACATACCTACTAGGTAACTTATAGGCAATTCACATATATATATGTGTAATTTAAAAAGTTCCACGAACAATAAATATTATATTATTACTTGAATTTAAGTTATTATATTACTTAAATTATAAACGTGTGTAAATAGTTGTTGATGCACGGGATTTTCATTTAATGTTAGACATAGACACCTACATAAATTTACTATGTAAATAAACTGGTTTAAAAAAAAGGAATTTACTTGAGTTTCTTGCCAGTTCTTCTCAATTGAATCTGTATACTGAACTGGACGGTAAGAAAAAATTACAGCTAGTTACCAACACGTGTTTAGTTTGTTTGTTAAAGTTTTGAAGTCATTATGAAGATGCTGTCTCTACATTATAGTTATAGAAGTTGGTATTTTGATTTAATATTTATAACATATAATGTATTGGGAAGGAACTGGCTTCTGTTATACGGCTAATGCTAGTTCAGAAGCCAGGACTACACATAAATACTGAAAGGATTGATATTGTCTGGAATGTGTACCTATTGTATAAATAATATTGTAACGATCCTTCTGAATTTAATAAAGATTATTATTATTATTATTATATATGCTGGTGGTCACTCTATTCTCCCAAATTGGAATTTAAATGAAATAGTATTATTGTAAATATGTATAACATTAAAAAAAAATACGAGCTGAGTTTCTTGTCAGTTCTTCTCATCTCGAAATCATTCCGGACTGACGGTAGATTTGACATATCATAAGAGTCTGTAATAGACCTACATGAATAAAGATATTTTGAATTTTGAATATATTTTTTTAAAGTACTCATATAATTCGTAAGTCAAAAATATTATTAAACAAATATTACGTAATACTAGGTATTTCCCACAGCTTCTTATCCTCGTTTTGTTAATGTATTTATCTCACGTATCATTAACATAGGTTAGCCGTTTAGTAGTTAGAATGTAACAAATAAGCAGATACATACACTATATATATATGAGACTAGCTGTGCCCGCGACTTCGTGCGCGTTATAGTGACGACCAAATGAAGAAAAAATATTCTATAATCTAACACAAAAGCACAGAAAAAGGTTTTATCGTTCTAGCTTTCATAATTATGATACTTCCATACAACCCTTCATCTCCCTTTTCAACCCTTTTTTTTATTAATGTTCAATCAATAGCCTAAAACATCAGTTTCAAGCTTCTAGCTTTAAATATTACAATATCTCCATACAACCCTTCATCTCCCTTTTCAACCCTTTTTTTTATTAATGTTCAATCAATAGCCTAAAACATCAGTTTCAAGCTTCTAGCTATAAATATTACAATATCTCCATACAACCCTTCATCTCCCTTTTCAACCCTTTTTTTTATTAATGTTCAATCAATAGCCTAAAACATCAGTTTCAAGCTTCTAGCTTTAAATATTACAATATCTCCATACAACCCTTCATCTCCCTTTTCAACCCTTTTTTTTATTAATGTTCAATCAATAGCCTAAAACATCAGTTTCAAGCTTCTAGCTTTAAATATTACAATATCTCCATACAACCCTTCATCTCCCTTTTCAACCCTTTTTTTATTAATGTTCAATCAATAGCCTAAAACATCAGTTTCAAGCTTCTAGCTATAAATATTACAATATCTCCATACAAAATTTCATCTCCCATTTGAACCCCTTACAACCATTTTTTCGCATTAAAGTAGCCTATGTCCTTTCATAGTGTCTAGACTATCTGTGAACCAAATTTCATTTAAATCGGTTTAGTACTTTTCGCGTGAAAGCCATACAGACAGAGTTACTAATCGTTTATAATATTAGTAAGGATCAGATTTTGTCAATCCATAAAGATGAGACCGCTTCATTATCATTACGATAACCTGATTGATTGATCAATTGATGTCTGTGACTAATTAATTTGTATGTATGTCTTGTCATCATATGTTATACTGTATGCAAATAAAATTCATAATGAAGGCGTTTTGAATGAATTATGAATTTTAATCACAGATATACAACTGACGAGATATATAAACAATGCAAGAAACTCTACATATGTATATATACATATATAGAAAGATAGATACAATTAATAATCTCAATAATAATAATAATCCTTAAACACTAATATATTACAACTTCACCCACTTGCTTTCATACTTCTCCAAAAAGCTGTAATACTAAACACTTGTAGAATAGTCCGCAAATTTTTGTCTTCCGTTTAAAAAATCTCCATCCACATCATTTCTTTTAAATTATTATTAATAATAATAATAATCTCAGGACAATAAGTACAACGCCATCTAGACCCAAGTTAAGCTAGCTAAAGCTTGTGTTATGGGTATTAGACAACTGATACAAATACATAGATAATTTTTTTTCGTAAATACATACATATTGTCATTGTTTGGTGATTTTTACCCGCAATGATAAGTATATTATCCCATCAAAGGGAGATATATACATAAAAACAGATAGAATATGTATATAAAAACAATAATAATAAAGCTGCAAATCAGCAAAAGCTGTAAAAATAAAGCATAAATAAAATAGTTACTCAAGCTAAGCAGAGCTTACATTATAGGTACTAGGCAACTGATATAAATACATAGAAAGCTCCCAGACCGATATAAACAATCATACTCAAGAATACAAATTTTTGTATCGTGTTAGAAATCGAACCCGCTACCATCAGAAGTAAAGCCGTCTGCTAAACCACTAGACCACCGAATATATTTCATGTACATAAAATAAAACAATCAATTGATATAAATACATAGCTATTATACATAGAAAACACCCAGACCGATACAAATAATTGTACTCATCAATACAAATGTCTGTGCCGTGCGAGGATTCGAATCCGTGACCATCGGTCGTAAAGCGGTGTGCTAGACCCCTTGACCACCGAGGTCACACAAACTATCACACAAACAATCATACTCAAGAATACAAGTATTTGTATATATTAAATACATCGAACCCGCTACCATTAGAAGTAAAGCCGTGTGCTAAACCGCTGGACCAGCGAGGCCGTCGATTGTTTTATTATATGTAAAAGAAATGTAATTTATTTATTTTAGGTATATTAGATTTTGAAATATGATGTCACGAAATTTAGGAGATCTAACTCTAACTCGTCACTCTATGTCACACTTTATCGATCTCCTACCTCCCTTGTTCTGTGACGCAATTAATGGATACCCCCTTGGCAACAGGATAAGTGATAGAGAAGCCCACGCAGGCAGATTTGTACACTGTCTCCCTCGGGAAATATAGGTAAACCTTATTAGCTATACTATGTAATATTATATTATCTGTGGCTATACCGACCAACGCAGTTACATCCAATACTACTTAGTCTATTTGCGTAAGGTTTTACAACAAAATACCAGAGTCTGTTATAAATCTGCCTGACAAAAGATTTAAATTTCATATAAAACACTTCTTTTGTAAAAAAGCTTACTATAAAATTGAAGAATTCGTTAACGACAATAAAGTTTTTATACAAAAACTTAAAATCCATAGCACTGACGATATTTTCTGATTACACTAATAATGAGTGCGTAGCGATTTCTATGTTGATTATCGCATGCCTCTTACTCGTTATAGTGTAATTATTTATATAAAAAAACATCTATTCAGAACAGCAACACACAAGTTTCTTGCTCATTCTTCTTGTTATGAATCTGCATTTCGAATGAGTGGTAGTATCAAAATATGACTAATCAAAAGTTCTTGTAATGAGTTTATTTGAATAAAGATTATTTCTATTTCTAAATCAAAAATAATAAAGACTAGCTGTACCCGCGACATCGTCCGCGTGTAATTTAACGTTATTGTTCTAATTTAAAAGAATTTTTCTAAAATAAACGTAGCCATAGTTACTTCTTATTACATCAGCTACATGCCAATAAAAGTCACGTCAAAATCGGTCCAGCCATTTCAGAGATTAGCCGGAACAAACAGACAGACAGACAAAAATTGTAAAAAATGTTATTTTGGTGTATGTATAGTATTTATATTCATGTGCATGTAATAAATGGTTATTTCAATATTACAAACAGACACTCCAATATTATTTATATGTATGGGTGAAATCTTTTAATATCTTTTAGAATCTTTATAGCCATAAATTTTGTCACACTCTATAATCTTTCACAATTTGACAGTGAACAATTCGTGTTTTAAATTAAAATATGAAATGTCACAAATACTTTAAGACCTTAAGAGAGTGGGAGAGGTCCTAGATTTCAAGTTTTTTACAGGAATTTTGTGAAACAGAAGTAAAAATAGTGTTTATTTAAATTAACTTAATATAATTTCATGATTTTTAAATATTTTTATCGACGATTTTTGTGAAGTAGTTTTTATATATATTGCAAATATACTTAATATAGGCGCTTTTGAATAGTCATATTTTTTTAATCTACCACTCATTCGCAACGCGGACTCGTCACAGGAACAACGAGCAAGAAACTTGCGTGTTGCTCTTTTAAATAAACGATGTTCTGAATTACATTGTTAATAATTTTGTGTGAATCATACAAACTATCAAATCAAGTTTGTATTCCAATCCCTTATTATACGATGACGCACTTTCAACCCCGTCCTCTCCCTTTCTTGTAAACAGTTAGTTTTTTTAGTTCAATCTCGAATAAACTTAGGTATTAATAAATGCGAGATATTTTTTTAAGTACAGCTGTTATTTTAAGGAAATTCTAGGCAAACTAAATGAGTTGTCGTATGACAATAATGTCTAATTATTAAGTATACTATATACATATATATATATGTATGCGCTGACCTGTACAACTTTGTCTGCATTACATTTTCCCAGTTTCTGTAACGTTTTTCAATGCATATCTGCTCTTATTGGTTGAAACATAATGTTATATATTCTACAATATTCATAAATAACTAGGTTTTCTATTGGTAGGAGAATTTACAAAATCGGTTCAGTAGATATAGAGATTACCCTCCTACAACAACTGTTTTTTTTATAACACAGAGGATAGACTAGCTTGCGGCTCACCTGATGGTAAGTGATTACCGCCGCTCATGAGCTCCCGCAATACCAGGCGAATTGCCAGTACGTTGTCGGCCTTTTAAAAAGGAATAAGCACTTTTCTTGAAGGTTTCAATATCGTATCGGTTCGGAAATACCATTGCTGGAAGGTGATTCCACAACGTGGTTGTGCGTGGCAAAAAGTTTCTAGAAAACAGTACTGTGGAAGACCGCCATTCATCCAGATGATCAGGATGATATTTTAGGAAACTGTACCTCATATATATATACAATATTACTATAAATAAAGTATTTAATGACAATTTACTATATAGTATACTTTACATAGTATAAAATGAGTTACGCCGCTGTCATTTCGCATACATCGATATTATATTGACGGCCTTGGTGGTCTAGCGGTACAGCACACTTTTTAATGGTCGCGGGTTCGATTCCTCGCACTGTACAAACGTTTGTATTCATGAGTATGCTTGTTCGTATCGGTCTGGGTGTATTCTATGTATATTATGTATGTATTTACAAAATAATTATCTAAATATATATCTGTTATCTAGTACATATAAAACAAGCTCTGCTTACCGTAAGACTAGATGGCGCTATGTTAATTGTTCAGGGTTATTTACTTATTATTTATTCATCTTTTATGCAAATTACGCAACCGATTTTTATGCAGTTTTCAACAGTAAATAGAGTGATACAAGAGGAAGGTTTATATGTATAATACATGTACACCCGGGCGAAGCCAGGGCGAGTAGGTAGTTATTAATAAATTAATTATATTATAAAAATCTGTCTAAAAATTATCATATAAATTGATTAAGCATACGTCACAACACTACGTCCTTTCCACTTATTCATTTATTAAAATACTTTGTTAATAAATTAATTATATTATAAAAATTCAGTCAAAAAATCATCATCATTGACAAATTGATTCAGAATACGATTGTCAAATTGTACGCACGTGTTCAAATAAATGTGATAATGATTTATAATCTGTTACCAACTACAGGATATAATAGGCGCCATTGTCGAACTGTCTGTCACCCTTTACCTGGAACTGTATCTACAATACTAAGAATATAGTGATTGGTTTTTTTATCACTATACACATATATATTACATCATGTTAACATAGTATGTGTACAGACTATATATTAAACTAGCTGTTCCCGCGACTTCGTCCGCGTGGAATTTAACTTTATTTTTCTAAAATAAAAGTAGCCTTGGTTACCCCTTATTACATCAACTACCTGCTAAAAAAAGTCCCGTTAAAATCGGTCCAGTCATTTAAGAGATTAGCCGGAACAAACAGACAGAAAGACAGACAGACAAAATTGTTATTTTGGTGTAGGTTTGTACCGTAATTATATTCATATATGCATGTAGTAAAAAACGGTATTTCAATATCACAAACAGACACTACAATTTTATTTACATGTCTATAGATATAAATAAAATTGGATATTATCTGTATAATAAATCATTTAGATAAGATCTAACTTTTCGAAACATATATATTTAACGGTAACAACATTTAAAATTTTAACCTTTTACAAAAACAAATCTGTTTATCATTATCAACGGTTTCAACTACCTCTAATGAATATAAATACGGTACATACACCAAAATAACATTTTTTACAATTTTTGTCTATCTTTCTGTTTGTTTGTTCCGGCAAGTCTCTGAATCGCTGGACCGATTTTGATGGGACTTTTTTTTGCAGGTAGCTGATGTAATAAGGAGTAACTTAGGCTACCTTAATTTTAGAAAAATAAAGTTAAATTCCACGCGAACGAAGTCGCGTGTACAGCTAGTATATTTATATTTCATGATGGTGCTTTTAATTTCAGGTCGTGATTTGTATACAACTAGAGCCATCTATTGTCGAATAGTGACAATGATCAACTTAGTTTCGCTACTCACCGCTGCCCTAGTGTCGCTACAGTGCTGTTACGTTGGCGCTGCAATTATCGACAGCAAAAATAATTTGAATAATAATTTACAACCAAATGGTATGTTATATTTTTTATCTGTATTTAATATTGTAATATATAATATGTAGAGAAAACTTATATTGTAATATGCGATGTTCGGTAATGTACAATCCAAAGTCCTTTGCGTAAACCTAGAAATAGAAATAATCTTTATTCAAACAAACTTAATATACCTAAGCACTTTTGAATAGTCAAGTTTTTTATTCTACCGCTTATTCGGAATGCAGATTCAACACAGGAAGAATATTCAAGAAACTTGTGTATTGCTCTTTTAAATAAATATTGATTTACTTATATTTAATTAATAACAAGGATTAGGCATGCGACAATCAACATAGAAACCGCTACGCACTTAATCTCTGTTCAATCAGATAACATTGTCAGCGCTATGAATTTTAAGTTAGATATTTTCTACAAAAACTTTATTACACTTACTAGGTACTTGTCTCCCTTATTACAGCCGCTAAAGATCTAACAGATTTATAGTGTTTTTAAAGGAAACAACACGCATAATAACTTATTTAATGGTTCGCACAACTTTCTTAGTTTTATTCTTTCATAAGAATCTTCTCCTGACAGTAACAAATAAACAGAAAAAGAATTTCAGCTAATTCTGTGTTTGTTACATTTAAAAGGTTCTTATGAAAGAATAAAAGGTCCAGTAGTTCACACGTGATACTTTATCACGAAAGGGATTTATTTATATATATAATTACATAGTATAAAACATAGTCGCTGTCGCTGTCTGTCCCTATATATCTTGAAAACTACGCAACGGATTTTGAAGCGGTTTTTTTAGTAGATAGAGTGATTCAAGAGGAAGGTTTATATATATAATACATGTACACCCGCGCAAAGCAGTGGTGGGTAGCTAGTTTATATATATATACATATATATATAAATGAATAAATATGTATATATGCCCAACAATCGATTTATATGCTACTGAAAATGTGTCCGGTGACAAGGAAATCATGAAATTCAAAGAGCACCTAAAATATTCAAGTTGGTATATCTGAATGAATATTTTAATATTAATTGAATATGAATCAAATATTTGGCTAAATATAGCGCTGAACGTACAATAGCATTTAATACGGTTTTTTACGTTTAATATTTCTCAGTCTGATTTTATTTATACAGAAAAATAATAATTAATAGATATATATTTTTTTATTAATAATGAGATCATAAGAGTTTGTAATACATATTTTTTTTTATTAATAATGAGATCATAAGAGTTTGTAATATACCTACATGAATAAAAATATTGTGAAATTGAATTTGAATACAAAAGTTTGTACCGTCGATGATAAAAAAAAATCAGAAACGTTTCCTATAGCAACTTTTCTTGCCAGTTCTTCTCAATTGAATCTGTATACTGAACTGGACGGTAGAGAAAGAATATTAATACAAAAACTCGACGTTCATAAGGGGTTAAAATATCCTACACAAATAAATGAATTTTCATTTGATTACAGTGGCACCAACTCCAAGACGCCGTCTAGGATCTTTTGTTAAAATATTGTCAGCGCCGCCGGAGAGTGTCAGTTTGATTCCCGGCAGTCCGTTGGAGCTTAGCTGCGTAGTGGCTGGTCATCCTGCGCCCACCATCCAGTGGCTGAAGAATGGAGAGCCATTACCTGATGTGAGTTTTATTTATTTAAATTTATATTGTTTATTTATTTTAACTTACCTCCGATAGTGCCGGGTTCATGTATTCATGAGTGCGATTGTTTGTATCGGTCTGGGTGTTTTGAATGTATAATATGTATCTATTTACAAAAAAAATCTATGTATTTGTATCAGTTATCTAGTATCCATAACACAAGCTTTAGCTAGCTTAACTTGGGTCTAGATGGCTGTGTGTGAATTGTCCTGAGATTACAATTATTATATAAGCAGTTAAATTATCATAAATCATATAAAACATAAATATTTTTTTATTATAATGACGGAATCGGTGATCTAGCAGCGTACTACATCTCTCTCTGCACAAATTTTCACCCCTATTTCATTCTTCTTTCACTCTTATTTTTTTTCATTTAAGCAGTTCACTTGTAAGAGCATAACAAACAAATAGACACACTTGAAACTGTAATAATCTTAGTGTTCATTTATATTTTCAGTATGAAGAATCAGCAAATGAAATACTCAACATTCACCCATCGAGTATCGTGCAGCTCGTAACCAAGCTGGTGGTAACGACGGCAGGCAACGGTGATGAGTACACGTGCATCGCCAGCTCTGGTATCAAGCAGAAGATCGCCACCACCATAGTTTATACGACAGAAGGTACGTTTAACTAAATCTGATCTCTTATTTTGTTATTCAAATTTAAAATATCTTTATTTATGTATACATAAAAAAGTACATACTTTTCTAGTACCTATGATACAAGCTCTGCTTAGCTTGGGACTAGATGACGCTGTGTGAATTGTCCTGAGATATTATTTTTTTAGTTATTTTTAAACTTTCGTGTTTACTATATTATTAACCGGGTCTTAACAACCGGTTACTCCAGTCAGGTCGTGATCACGGCTAGTGCAACCTAGTCGAAACGTCGAGAGAGGTAAATATCTTTATCTTCTTAATATATATAACTCAAAGGTGACTGACTGACGTAATGATCTATAAACGCACAGCCCAAACCACTGGACGGATCGGGCTGAATTTTGGCATGCAGGTAGATGTTATTACGTATGCATCCGCTAAGAAAGGATTTTGATTAATTCTACCCCCAAATAGGGGATGTCAATTTTAAACCGGTCGGGCTGAGACTTTGCATGCATAAAGCTACTATGACGTAGACATTTCCTAAGAAAGGATTTTGATAAATTCCATCCCCTAAGGGGATAAATTAACGCGAGCGAAGCCACGGGCAAAAGCTAGTTTGCCATAAAATTAGTTCGTGTTAAGACCCGGTTAATAATATAAATAATATTTTTTTTTGTTCATACATTTTGTATTCTCGATTTTCTTCGGTGTTGTAGTTAATTATTATTAAATTATTTTATTACTGTATTTTCTGAATGCAATAATAAGAAAATATAAACATGCTTGGTACTATGGTTGAGTGCAATGATGACTGGTTCATCCGTCATACTCGTGAACGGGTGCTGCTTGTGCAGACTGATCTGCTCGGGTTACGAACACTAATTAGGCTATTTGCTTTTGTAATAGCATGTGGTGGTCACTCTATTCTCCCAAATTTGAATTTAAAAATGAATCCATATTATTGTAAACATATACAACATTTATTTGAAAATAATACGAGCTGAGTTTCTTGTCAGTTGTTCTCATCTCGAAATCATTCCGAACTGACGGTAGATTTGACATATCATAAGAGTCAATATTAGACCTACATGAATATAGATATTTTTAATTTCTAATTTACAGGTCAAGCTCCCCTCCGAGCATTATTCCGACCATCGACTCCCGTAATAGTGTATTATTACGACACCATCTTCCAAAATCAAGGCACCACTGTGGTGTTGCCATGTAGGGTCTCCAGTTACAGCCAGGCACAAGTGTATTGGATGGACAACGCTGACAAACTCATATATGGCAACTCTAGAATGCAAGTTAGTATTTTTATACTACTACGGCACGCATACGGCTGATCTGATGGTAATGGTTACCGTAGCCTATGGACACTGTGGTGGATAATATTATATGTATTGTTTGTATGTCGGTTCTTTATGTGCAGAAAGCTATTGCATCTACTCTATAACTATGTAAAATGAATCGATCCGAAAAAAGCTGCTGAACGGATTATGATGAAACTTTATAGTAATATATGAATGATATTATGTAAATTGAGCGAAATCTAAATATATATTACTCAAACGTGACTGACATAGTGATCTATCAATTTTTAAGATTTTGATTATTTCTACCCCCAAGGGGATAAAATAGGGGATGAAAGTTTTTAAGAAACTGTGTCAATTTTAAACCGATCGGGTTGAGACTTTACATGCATAAAGCTACTATGACGTAGGCATTTCCTAAGAAAGAATTTTGATAAATTCCACTCCTAAAGGGATTAATTAACGCGAGCGAAACCGCGGGCAAAAGCTAGTATAATGATAAATGTCAAGTAGGTGCGATGCAGACAAAGTTGCGCGAGTCAGCTAGTCATCCATAAAAAAATGAGTTATTAGTCCAGATTACTAACAATTTAATTCCCCTTTTCAGGTGTTACCATCAGGCGATCTCCTGATAAGTGTACTGGAGTGGAGAGACATGGGTAATTTCACATGTACAGCCAAGAATTTGTATGGAAAAGTGGCCGCCTCCACGTTTGTGTATCCAGTCAAGGCTTGAAAAGGTAAGAACATATATCGATTGTACATGCCTCTTCCTTATTAATGTGTATTTACTTAGAACAAAGTTTATTTTAAAGAGCAACACGCTAGTTTTGGTTCTTATTCTTCATGTGATGAGTCTGCGTTCTGAATGCGTGGTAGAATAAAAAATATGACTATTCCAAAGTGCTTGTATTAGGTTTATTTGAATAAAGATTATTTCTATTTTTATTACACTTACGAGCTGTACACGCGACTACGTCCGAGTGGAATTCAACTTTATTTTTCTAAAATAAAAGTAGCCTAAGTTACTCCTTATTATATCAGCTACCTGCCAAAAAAAGTCCCGTCAAAATTGGTCCAGCCATTCCAGAGATTAGCCGGAACAAACTGGAACAAACAAAATGAGTAATTTTTTTTACGAACATCACTTTTACCACTTAATAAACTTGTGTTTGTGTGTTGTGTTCATTTCATTTCTAACCTTGTTACAGTTGCTGCACACATTTCGACCAAACAAGTTACCCGCCGATAGCAGAATTGATGTTCCTATTTAAGTATATATTTAACTTAACATCTACTTAACTTATTGCTAGATTTTAAGTTATAAAACTTATACGACGTAAGTGAAACCTGTACACATGTGATATAATGTGTTAAGTACTTAAGTTGCGTATAACACATACATATTTTTAGTGTACGTTTGTTTGTAAACATATATTTAACTATATTTGTATTCAATGATGACAAAAAATGTTTATAGTTTATTTTATTACTAGCTATTCGCCCCGGCTTCGCATGGATGTACATGTATTATATAAACCTTCCTCTTGAATCAATCTATCTATTAAAAAAGCCGCTTCAAAATCCGTTGCGTAGTTTTAAAGATTTAAACATACATAGGGACGGACAGACAGCAACAGCGACTTTGTTTTATACTATGTCATGATTATTATAGTTTAATCAAGAAGTAGGATTTCTATAATAGTGATGTATTACATACTAGTTACGTACTACGGCATCGCATGAGTGTACACTATGTGTGTTTATTTCCAATTATATATATATTTCCATTTCAAGTACATAAAAAAAACATATTTAATTTAGACCAGTCCCACACTCTGACATAGGATCAACACCAGTGTAAACCAGTGTTTCCCAACCATTCCACTGCACGCCTTAGTCTTTCGAAAATTCTGAACGACGACGTGAGTACCCCAAGTTGAGAAACACTGGTCTAAACTGAGACTGACTTATGATTGATGCTTATGGAAAACTAACAAATTTTATCAGTATTAATAACAACAAAGAAACCAAATATGTATTATTTCTGTTTTAAACTATGTTACGCTAGACTAGATGCCCCGGTTTCGCTTGAATGCTCATAATCATGTGAGTATTGTATATTATCATAATATATAGCCTATATCATACAGAAATAATATATCTTTGAGACAGTGAAAGAATTTCTCAAATCGGTGCAGTGGGTCAAATATATACTTTCCTTCTAAAAAAAATTATCTTTCACTCATCCTGTATAGTAGAGATTTGTAATAACCGTTTATGTATTGTTTCCTTAGCCCCTTTGATCGATCCCTCGTCCAATTCAAACGGGGATCGAAATTACGACGGCCTGAGCCGAGGTTCGAACCCCTAGTGGTGCCCTCAGACTAAAGTCGTATCCGTCAGGCAAGAGTTGGCCTTCAGCCGCTCCATAAGTCCTTCCGCGGGTTTGAAGTGCCATCTGCACTCGCCCCCTATCGTCCGGTGAAGCTGTAAAGGCCATCTGCGGCCAACAGCATTAGAGTAGTCCGAAAAAAAAGTTTCCTTATGTATGTTATATATTTATACAGCATGATGTATTTTTAAATAAAGTAAATAAAATGTATAGCATTTCGTAATAGTACCTAAATTGATTATTTTAATATTTATTTTATAATTTTAAATTAAAATTTTAAATTCGTGTTATTTAATTTAATGTACAGTGCATTTATGTGTGACGATTATGTTATTTATTTGTTTTGTACTTAATTATTTTTAAGTTATATAGAAAGGTCTTCTGAGATCAAATAATAAATGTTTTATTATACAGTGAATATTTATTTATTATATAACTAGCTATCACCTGCGACTTCCTCTACACTTGCGTGCAATAACACCATATACCAACACCAATACCATCTTTACCATAAGGGCACACGGGGCCCGTGCCCAGAGCCCCCATTCTCAGGGGGCCCCCGAAGGACTAACAATTTTTCTCACACATTTATTCTCAAAAGATTTTTGTCAGGCACACTACACTTTTTTCACAAATCAGTAATGTTATCAGAAGGTTATCACAATGTATATACTACACCATTATACCGATTAATTCGCCTATTCCTATGTTCTTATACCTAATGAGCTTTTTTTTTACTTTCCAAATGGGCCCCGAATACTTGTGTGCCCAAGCACCCCAGACTAGTTTAAGATGGCGGTGCTTGCGTGTCTTAAAATAAATAAGATTTCTAAAATTAAAAGTACTACCGCTTACAGATAATCAGGTGAGTCATAAGTTTGAATGTAAGAAAATAAATCTAAAAAAATCCGTAATGGATTTCGCTCTGTGACACGCCTGGATAAAGTCCGCAACGAGTACATAGGTTCCATCGGAGTAGCTCCTATCGTGAAAAAAGTGAGAGAAAGTGAGAGAGAGTCGCTTACGCTAGTATGGCCATATTCAAAGACGCGAAAAAGTGCTCCAGATACGAGTACCAAATTCGACCAGAGGTAGGGGCCACACGCCACTTGGTGGAATAATATTAAGAAGCAGTTGGACCAGGACAACCTTACTATATAGACAACCCAGAACAGAGTTCTCTGGCGCAGATGTACAGGAGACCCGACCACAGATAAATTGGGAACATGGGTTTTTTTATGGATGATAATGGAATGGAGCTTCGCCTGCGCTTCCGGTTTATGCTGGGGCACCAGTGGGGGATAATAAAATGAGCATGAGGTCAGGTCAGTTAGCGCATCGTAACAAATTCACCAGGAATTTATGACGATGGTTTCCAGGGGGAACCACGTGGAGGTCAACCTGACATAGAACATTTCTAGCAATGGGGTCAAGAGTCCACATTACTAACAATTCCCTTCCCTCCGAGTTGGACAAAGAAGAAGAGGATATCACTCTGTTTAGAAGTTGGGCGAAAATAGAATTCCGAAAGCGCCTGATCAAATAGAATGCAAATGTTGTAACAAAGCGTAACTATTATCTGAAAAGGCGTTACATACTGTACTGTTTTTTCTTTACATTACATTTAAATAAATAAATTTCCCTGGATTATTAACACAGCGCCATCTAAGTCCACGGTAAGCAGAGTTTATATTATGTGCACTTGACAACTGATATAAATACTTCGATATTTTTTTTTGTAAATACATACGTCATAATACACATAGAAAACACCCAGACCGATGCAAACAATCATACTCATGAATACAAATGTTTGTACCGTGCGAGGAATCGAACCCGCGACCATCGGAAGTAAAGTGGGTTGCTAAACCGCTAGACCACGGAGGCTGTCAATCTAATTTGTTTATTTTATTTCCATTTAGAGAAATGAAATTAAAATTATTTACTACACTGTACACACCCATAGTAGTCAACATTTTTAGATAATTGGAGACTTATTATAATAAAATAATTAATATAATTAAATAATTTTAATTAATAATAAATTCCTTTCGTATGCCTAGAAATATAGTTAGAGAGAAAATGCCCAAAAGGTGTTAAGTCCGCCATATGCAACTTTATTTGTGTGCATTAAAATTTGATAAATAAATGTACATATACAAATTCAAAATAATTCATTAGACAATCAGGAAAAAATAGAAAATCATTTATTCAAATTCAAATAAACTTACATTGAAGCACTTTTGAATAGTCATTACATTTTTTTAATCTACCGCTCATTCGGAAAGCTGTCTCATCACAAGAAGAACGAGCAAGAAACTTGCGTGTTGCTCTTTTAAATAATTTTATTATTACTTTACATTTTTAAGTTTAAGTGTGTGAACAAACCACCAATTCGTATATAATTCAATTAAATACTCAAATAGAAAAAATATTGAATATAATATAAACTCAATACTCAATGTATTTCAGTGGGCTTTAAAAAGAATGTTCGGCATTCAATCTAATTCCGTTGGCCGCAGCTGGCCTTTACAGCTTCACCGGACGATAGAGGGTTAGTGCAGATGGCACTCCAAACACGCGGAAGGACTTATGGAGCGGCTGAAGGCTAACTCCCGCCTGACGGATGCGAGTTTAGTCTGAGAGCACCGCTAGGGGTTCGAACCACGGCTCAGGCTGTCGTAATTTCGATCCCCGTTTGAATTGGGGATCGATCGGAGGGGGACAAAAAATCTTACAACTTACTTACGAGTACGAAATCGTTCGTTTAGGTAGTAATAAATATGTTGTTGAGACAACTCAAATGCCATCGTGGGACTGAATGCTGTAGGGTTAGCACCCATGCCACTTATGATATGTAACGTGTTACTATATTTTTATTTTTACTAGCTTTTGCCCGCGTCTTCGCTCGTGTTAATTTATCCCCTTAGGTGTGGAATTTATTAAAATCCTTTCTTAGGGGATGCCTACGTCATAGCAGCTTAATGCATGCAAAGTCTCAGCCCGATCGGTTTAAAATTGACAAAGTTTCATACAAACTTTCATCTCCTATTTTATCCCTATTTTATCCCTAATTAATCAAAATCCTTTCTTAGCGGATGCCTACGTCATAACATCTACCTGCATGCCAAATTTCAGCCCGATCCGTCCAGTGGTTTGGGCCGTACGTTGATAGATCATTACGTCAGACACCTTTGAATTATATATATTTAGATTTTTATATATATAGATGTACATTTTATATATTTGTTATTGCTGGTTACTAAAGATATTTTTGTATTTTTTGTTATTGTGGTGGTTTTTTCTACTCTTCTTTCAGTAATATCACGAAAGGTTATTTCTATTAGTTTTATTATGCCTCGATATAAAACATTAACGGGTCGTAGTAAGATATAAAGAAGAAGGAATCTATATTCGCAGACACATAATTATGACCTCAATAATGTCCAAAATTATAAAAATAATCTTAAAAAAATGAGTTAAAATTTTGTAGTACTTAACAAGTAATTTAACCCCTAATATTTACTACTTAGGGTCGAATTTCGACCACTAAGCGACTACTAATACTATTAATTATTTCAAATAGGTGACAACCCTAGCTGCAAACTGTGATTATGAATGTGAGAAGGTCGCCATTTTGAATTTACAAACGTATACAGAGCGCTGTGGCGTAGCGTAGTTGTACCCCGACTTGGTTAGGTTGTGAGTTCGAATCCAGCCGTCTTCAGATATTTCATTTATTTATTCTTTATTGCATCGTAACAAAAAAAGTACAAAAGAAAACAATATTTAGTATATATGTCTACAAAAGGCGGTCTTATCGATTAAGTGATCTCTTCCAGACAACCTTTGGGTAGAAGAGAAAAGACAGAAGGCGGTAGATGGGGCAAGCAACGGCGGATCCAAGGGGGTAATGGGGGTCATGACCCCCCTGAGCCCAGGACTTAGGTGTACCACTAAATGAACGTAATAAGTACAGTACTTATGTTGTTGACAAAAATTTACTGCAATGTTGCAATTATGTTATCCTACACAATTTGTATTGTTTTGGATGAATAAATAAATAAATAAAATTAATAAAATACCTACTTTTTACTTGTATCTATAGTTATCAAAATTAAATTATAAGTTCTTGACTTGACCACGACTATGTGACCCCCTCCTGGCGCCAAAGCTGGATCGGCCCTTGGGCGCAATATGGAATAGAAGTAACATAAA